TTTTTTTTTTGTTTTTTATTAATGAGAATTTTTACCAAATTATATTTTTTGGACTTGGTGCAAAATTAACATTCCATTCATGAACATTGAGTGATTTACTTGTTGATGTTTTTGGTCGACGATCAGGTGTAAAACATGTTACTCGAAAATTTGAACGAACTCTATAGAAAATAAAGTTATATAAATTTTTAAATTGAATTAAAATGTAATACACAATAGAATGAGTTACATTTTCAATTTAAATTGTTTAATGTTTAAGATATTAATTACTGTTTATATATATATATATATATATCATCATGAAAAGAAAAGGTTAATTATGCTTAAAAATATTTTAAATCAAAATGAGTTTTTCAATTATCTAATTTTAATAGATATGATTTGATCGATTTCTATTTTTTTTTATCAAATTTTCCATGTTTTAACTATGTTACAAAAGACAAAACGTGTTTGATTAAAATTATTATTATTTTTTAATATTCAGTTATTTAATTTCATGACTAGCAATGTGTGAAACCATATTGTTTTTAGTTCCGATGTCTCGTTAACTTTTTTTTCAGTTGTCTCGGTCATACCTCTGTTAAATTTGTGTTGGTTTCGGTTTAGAGAAAACTACTTCAAAATTTATTTCCATGAAACTTAAAAATCTTAAATACTCGTGTTTTGATTAATTCAGTCGACGGATGTAATTTTTTTCGATCATTTCTCCTGATTTTTATCCTGATTTATAGCATAATATGCTAAAAAATCATATTTCTTTTTGTAGTCCGGATTCCAGTACATTTTTATCTTTTTTTTGGTTCCAACCATAGAGATCGGAACTAAACCTGTTCCCAGACATTTCTATTCATGACTGTTTATCGATATCATATCATTGTTATTTATTTTTCTTATTATATGTCAACCAGATAGATCAGGATAGGAGCTGTTTCTATTAAAAACTTCAAATATACTGGAATATGTTTATTTTACTTCGGTGTACAGTGATATTGATGATTTTTCTTTATTCTAGATCATGAAAGAAAGAAATGTTTGTTAGAATCTATGGGGAAATATGATAGATCGGATATTTGTTTTCCCGATTTATAGAATTTAATATTCATCAATAGCATGATAAAGAAAATAAAAATAAAACAAAATCTACCGATGTGCTTCTTCAGGTGTTGAAAATGTTACAAAAGCTAATCCACATTTCTTTCCTCTAACATGTAAATATTCATCTTCAACACGTTGTTTATATGCATTATATAATTTTTCATAATAATCAATTGCATCAACCTATCATTTTAAAAAATTATTAAAAGAAAAAAAAAATAATTTTTTCTCGATAAATAAAACGAACCTCTTTGGCACAACACTAAATAACACATAATTGATATAATTAATCAAATTAGAAAGAAAAAAAAGTTCAATATTATAATTACTTACACCACACAGTTGTCCACATTTATTATTATAAACAACAGGTCGTTTACCACTTTCTTCAAACATTTGTGTACTTTGTTGCCAAATACGAAGATTAAGTTCACTAAATAGAAAAAAACAATTTTTCAATCATGATTTTTTTTAAAAATGTCAAAAATAACAAACCGGCGTTTATAAGCATGTTGTAATAAAGCTATATTATAAGCTAATGTTAAATGCGTTATTTGAAATGATGGATATGATTCACTAAAAATATTAACAAAAAAAAAAAAAACAACAACAATAACAAGTTATATAATCAAATATATTTTTAACTAACCGAAAATATTCATTTAGTTTTTCTTCATCACATGCAGAATTACGAATACCTCGTATCATTAATGTTCGATTTGCCTAAATATATATCAATAATAATTTATTCCGAACTCAAAATTAATTTGAAAAATTAAAATTAACTATTCTATTGAAATTGTTTTCGAATTCGCGAAGAATTCACAGACAAATGCAGAAGCAATTACAATAGATTAAGACAACAATTTGAATGACATCCAAACAATGATAGTACAACGAAAAAGCTATCACATAACAACATAAAATTCTACTTTTTCTTTCGATTCTTCATCTTCATACTAATAATTGATAAATAACGTAGAGTCTTTTAAAAAAAAAAGACTATTTTTGTTTTCTTACATACCATGTCTTCTGTTGCATAATATCGTGTAGCATTTGTATATAAATAAGCTACAATAATACCAGCTAATACAAATAACATTGATGCAAATGCATGAAACCAGAGTAATGGTGAACTGAAAACAAAAAAATAAAAAATTTATCTGAAATATCAATGAAGAAAAATAAATATATTTACTCCGCTGGTAAATTAGCAATAGTTGTATGAGCAAATTTTTGTTCACTTATTCCTATAATAAGAAATTATCATATGAAATTTGATATTAGTGTTCTAACCTTGTGTTCCTTGAAAATTGACTGGCAATATAATAGTCAAAGAAAAAATTGTTACAAAAAGTAAATAAGCAATTAAATAAGTATGAAATAAAAGATAATAATATGCATCTGGTGAACAATTTCGATAAACATCCCAATCACTAAATAAATTCTTATTAGATAAATAAAATAATTTTTATCATAAATATTAAACACCTGATTTTAAATAAATCTCGAATCCATATCCAACGTGACTAAATACAAAAAAAACAAAAGACTTATCCAAAATATTCTTCAGAAAAAAGAAAATAGTAAGTGCAATACACCACAAGAAATATTAGAAAGAAAAGAAAAAGTGTCAATTTCAGATAAATTGTTCATTACCACACAATATCGATGACAATAGGTTTCGTTGTCCTGTATAAAATGAAGAAAATATAAAATAATAAAAGATAGCATAATTTTTTATGCATATGAAAATTTGTTTCTAAGAAAGCAAAAGCAACACAGACACGATCAATCTTATGCATGACCTACATTATGAGCAAAATTTCGTGATGAATTACTTTGACCATAAAGAAGAGTTGATATTCTAAATAAATAAAAAAATTTTAAAAAAGAATGAGAATCTTTTTTTTTCTTACTCTGTTCCATCATCAATATTTTTCGAATCAGAAAAACGACGTCGTAAATATACAAAGAGTAATAAAAGTATCTAAAATTTCAAAAAAATATTCATTAATTTTTCGTTTATTCTGTATTATATAACATACCGCCGAAACGACTAGATTAACAACAATGTTTTCTGGAATTCCTTCGTATGCTCGTATAAGACCAAAACCAGTAGTATTAAGTCGGCCATAATATGAACACTCATCTCTTGTAATAATTGGTGATTTATCACCGATTAATGATGCTATAGGATTCGGTATTGTCACACGGTTACCAGTACTCATTTTTCGTTTCGTTGAAATTAATTCGATTTAGTGTTTAATAGTTTTTTGAAAAAAAAAATATTCACAAATACTACATGAACTTTAATACTATACTAATAATTAAATAAGAGATATCTAGAAATGATAATTTTCAATGAAAATGAAAAGATTTGTACAAAAAAAAAATAATAATTTAATCAACAAAAACGGAAATTTATTCATAATTAATTATATATTTGATTAATATAATTACATTCAGTGAAATTTCACACTTATTAACAACTAAACATCATAATAAATATTGATCATTACAAATTTACATTGCACAAGAAAATGAAAACATTAGTCAAATAGACCGGTGGTTGTTTCTTCGGAAACAATCCTTCACACTAAAGACAAATATTTGTTATTGGCCAGAGCCTCTCATTATGTATTACTTCGTGCCACCCATTCATATCGAGTCAATACACTAGTGACACTTCGTTGAGTATAATGTCGCTATTATATTCAGATGATATGAATATTGATGTGTTAATATAAAATACATTTGTTTTGCTTTTGTCTAGCCAATTTTTTTATTCTTTACAAATGAGAACCTTTCAAAAATATATAAAAAACATATTAGTTGTAGTCTTAATCTATTATTGTTTTTGTATTCGTATTATCGACAATAAACGTAGATAAAATGCATATTTCAACGATTTTCGCCGTTCTTAGAGAAAACATTTTTATAAAGATTTTAACTTTAAAGAATTTTTTATCATTAACATCATTACTCACTGTTTGAAGATGCAGATTTTGTAATGAAAAATGCATCTGATTCAACGTTATACATATTCACATTATGTCAAATTCTAATATAATAAACTTCTTCTCATTCATCACCCCCAAGAATTTCGTATTTTCCAATAATCTAATTTTGTTTTCGCATCATGACCATAGCATAATTGTTATTATCAGTTAATGTTATACAGATCCATCAACTTGAAAAATATCATCTGTATAACTTTGAAATGTATTTATTATTTCGTTTGTTGCTTTGGGACATGATGAAAACATACTATCAAAACCGATATATATATTACTTATCTATAAAGGACCGTGAGTGATTAATATATGCTGCACAACCGTTATGTTTCCTAGTGATAAATAATGACAGACAAAATCATCAGCAGGCCAATCATCTATTTTTATAGCTGAACAATTATTAATAACGACAGCTGTATAAAGATATTTTGAAATATTATTCACATTCCGATTATTAGTTTTGAGATAAACAAATGTTGCATCGAAATAACTACCGGTACGTTCAAAGTCATTAATCGACCAATCAATTGTTTGTTGTTCGCTCATGTTCATCACTTGACTGTGTTGTATAATCAAATGTAGTTGGTAATATTAATTTAGAATTTTTTGATTTCTTACTTGTAAGAATTTTTGTAGATTTTATTGTGACAAATTTAGTTTGCACTGTCAATGATGGTAGCCGATTATAGTGAAGAATTTCTAATTCTAATGAAATTCAGTCAGAAAATTTGTTAATACCTACAGTAAATTCTCGATATTTCTTGAGATTCGCTTTGACTACTGTTTGGAGCTTGTAGGAGTGGTCTCAGATACGACGGACTGTAGTAGTCTGACAAATGTGTAGGATGCGCTAGTCACTGAGTACAAGAAATCGGAAAAAGTATTTCGTATCTTTGGAGTTTCTATTCAATTCCGATTAGAAGAATTTCATTGAAAGTATCAAAGTATAGATCGACGGAATCCCAGTTCGAGAATTGTGGACTCTACTATTGATTGAAGCCTTTGTTGAAAAATTTGAAAGCATGTTTGGGTCATAACAAATGTTCGAAAGTGATGTGAATGAGGATGACGTT